TACATATAAAAAAAATCTTAAAAAGTCAGAACAGAAGACCCATGACTAGTGATATTAAAAAAACAAGCATCCTCGGGTACTGCAGTCAAACAACGTACAGAAAAATTTGCTGTAATCAATTTTTAATAACAGTTTAATCATATACTAAATTGTGGTTCGATAATCCTTTCTATTTAGAATTAACATAAGTGAACTTGTGATGAAATTTATTAAAAAATAATTTACGAAATATAAATGTAGAAGTTTGTATATCCGAAAATAAATCAAGTAAAGTTACATAAAACTAAGACGATTTGAAATGCTCATACACGGACACACACACACAAACGTTTTGGTAACTCGGAATAGTCCAGAGTAAAATTGTTTTTCTTGATGAAGGAATGTCCAGTACATCTAATATTCACGTCCGTTATTGTCCACGGCGGTTCTAAAACTGACCCTCTCACACAACATACGGCATTCACTCAAACTTCAATTAACACATTTACGCAATTATCACACATACGAGTCGGACGCTCTTTGAGGCAAAGGATTGACACTAATTCCTTAAATAAATATTGAGTGACTATTTCCTTTTTACTGTCTAAACATTAATTGTTAGATAGATAATTTTAAGCATATGTCAAAAAGTAAGTAATTAAAATGATTCTTTTTATACAATCGAATTGTGTAACATTGTAAATTAATTTTGTAAAATTACTATGTGACAGAATTAATAAACAAATATCCCCTCCTTCTACTTTATTGGTAAAGAAGGCCCTCCATATGCAGCATGCCTTGATCTAAGAGTCATAGAGGGAAACCATATTGTTTCTTTAGAAAAGTATTCATATACCAGTACTCGTATATACGCGGAGGTAACCGCCATAATAATAAATTTCAAATAAAGACCCCTATAACCATACAAACGTAGAACGATTCATAGTCCGATTACGTACATCACTACTACATGGTTGTCTTAATATGCCTTTTTAATTTCCTAGACTACGTCTGGTCAAAGAAGTGTTTCCCGGAAGTAAGCAGATATCAGAATATGGAGAATACATGATAATCGGATGCAATTGGATATTTATTACTCTGCTATATATAAATGTAGTAATTTATTACAGCTAATCTAAATTATTGGAATTGTAAAGCAATGGAATATCTTTTTTCTTTCTTTTTTTTTTAAATATGATGAATCCAGAATAATTTCTTTGCACCATCCAAACAAAGGCGACTAATGAAATTCAATGTAATCCAAGTCAAATGATGTTTATGGACTTAAATGTATGCAGCTTTTCAGGTTCACAAATCGAATTGGACACTGACTTTGGTGTTGAAAAAAAGTTTGATTAACAGAAACTATTTGAAGTAGACAACAAACAAATATGAAATTGTTTAATGGGGATCTTGTATCGAATGCATACACCACAGTACTTCGTTGGATTAATAAATTACGTATTGTTTTATAACAGCTTATTCCCCTGAAGGAATTTTCCCAATAGAGTAATTGATAGAGATACGGACAGTACACACTCTACAACATATTATATCCATGTATTATTTATACCATTCCTCACAACTAAACCCCATTGAATGAAAGCTATTACACTTCACAGACTGTATTAAAGGATCTATGTACTATCGGTAAATATAGATATCATATTGTTTTTATTAACCAGTCTGATGTATTTTGTGATGATCTACAGGAAGAAGAGTACAGGTTAAAAAAAGAGATCGGATTATTCGAGCTATTCCCACAAAACATCTGAGTATTTTTTAGAAAGTATATCTGCGATTTGATATTGATGTCTTTTTGATGGAGAGAAACTTGCTTCATTGCCAGATTCGAAATGAGATGTGTTCATTGAGCATGACGCTGAATCTCTAGTGATGACCTTGAGCCTGGATCAGCATCAGTACTGTAGGCATAAAACTATTAGACAAAGCACACCCTTACATACATGTATAGAAATTATTTAAAGCTATTTTTGTAACGTAGCTTACTATTTTTTTGTTGTGGAATATTAATAAAGTTTCAATAAAACTATTAATAGTAATAATTTTCAAAAATATTTGGTATCATATAAACACAGTTAGCAGAACATTACTGTCCATTTATCTCTTAATTTCAAGACTTTTCAATATTAAGTTCTTCGAAACTTTATATACTTGAGAAGATATATTTTTCCATTGAATTTTTCCAGGAATGTGGATGTTACGACAAATGGTATAAACAGTTTCAGATCTAGAATACAAGTTTATATTTACTGATCTAATGCTGCAATAAACAAAGACATCATGACTCTATGAGTGCTCCAATGTTTAACATCTTTCAGTTTCTGGGGTAATACGATTTCATCGAATCTTGTTTATGGAGATGTATTAGGTATTTCTTTTAGACCCACCGTGTTAGACCCATCAATCAAAATCTACGAGGACAAAAAAAAAAAAACTCTTTGCGTGAAAATGTTTGCACGAAATTGTAGATCTATTAGAGAATATGGTCAAAATCCCATGAGTTTGATACTGAGATGAGTCTTGGATTATCGTTTTAGATGTCATTCAGCAAATTTCCGTCACTGTATTCCCTTATTAAAATATTATCTTGTTTCTCTTTAGCTGTATAGAACATAATATACATCACTGAAAAAAAAACACAAACAAAGTTACAACTGTATATAAGAGACATTAATCAAAGTTTTAAATAAATTTTAAAAAGTTCCTGTCAGAATAGAGATAATCGAGTGTTTACCTGGGGGTATACATGCTCCTGATACCTTTCGGGGAATGCTTTGATGTAATTAGTGGAAATTCTCACAGCCATGTGGTAAAATGTGAGAACCAAGGAACTGTCATTCCATCATTATCAAACAGATGCACCCATCTCCAATTGTATGAATGGAGAACAAAATTCAAAGAGCTGTGTATGATGCTGTATGCACCAGAAAAAGTTTCACGTGTAAGCACTGAAATGTTGAAAGTAAAGGTATAAGCTATTCCTGGAAGAACTGATTGTTCCATCATTACTAGTTTTAAGTAGATATAAATTATCTCCAAGAATGGAAGCTGATAGAATCTCTTTACTGTTTGTAAGGAAGCTATTTGGCATTTTTCGCACCACTAAATGCCATTAGATTTTATTGTCTGTTAATTAGATGTTTCTAATTTGGAGCGTCTTTGAGACAAAAAAAAAAAAAAAAAAAAGATTATGCTGTTGTATCAAGTGCAAGGAACTATATTATTAAATTTGTCGTCAGACTTGGGTGGATTTTTGTTCATGTATGTTTGTGTTCTGTTTTTGAAAATAATACTTTAATCAACATAAGCGTTCTTTAAGTACTTAGGGTGTTTTTTTCTCTGGCGCGTTTACGTTTTTTGTTCTCAGTTCTTTAAAAGTACTACTGAACGTATGAGATATTAAGTGTTTACTCGTTTAAACATTTCTATGGAGTTGATTGCATGGATATAAAATTATTTGTAAATCTGAATTTGACTTTTTTTCAACTGTCTGAAAGTTAATGACCACAATTCCTTGAATCTTTTTTCTTCTTTGAAAAATATTCCTGTTGCTGTTTTATTAACTGAAAAATATTTACACAAACTACTGTGGAAATGTAATCTTAGTATGTAGACTCTACTCGCATTCAAAAATAATAAAATAGAATTGTATAAAATAAGGTGATCCATCGTAAAGCATGCAATTCAAATTTTAGTCACACAGACTTGCATTTGATCAATTATTCAAGCTAAAACTGCACCTCAAAGACATAAGATTCGCCGGAAAATAATTCGCTACAAATGCCTCTATCATTTCTATACGCCTGACATTTTAATGGAAAGTCTTATAAAGAACTTTTTAATGACGGCATTTTTCAAGTAAACCTTTAGTTATCCATGGAAAGCCCCCTTAATGTGGATTTGATAATTATTAATGTTCCTGGATACAAAAGTGTTGAAATTTCCTTTTTCTTGATAATTTGATTCTCTTTTCTTCCTACTGCAAGGTCGCACAACAAAGCCCAGACATTTCCATAAATCTTAAGTCTTACAGCCTATTCAACAGAAGTTTCAAGTGTTTTCAAACTGTCAAGTTCAGGAGGAAATGCACGAATTAGCTTTACTGTTCAGATTTTATTCGGTGTATCAAAGCACTTATGTTTGAAACAAACAAAGGGGTCATTCTGACCGCACAATTATATTTAATGTGCAAAAATACTGATATTTGTGTTGAGGTCAAATATTTATTATTGCCCTCTTCAAATTCATTGACCGTTAGCTACCTTCTTTTACCAGATGCCGGAATCTTAAGTGGGAGATTGTTAAATATGTTTGTACTGACTGTGCTGTATTCCCACCATTTGTAGATGTTTTTATTGGTGTATCGATAATACGCGGTGAAATGTTTGTTATTTACTTTAAGTATTATATAAATTTTCATCTAATCCATGAATCATTTCAAGGAGTAGTCTATAATTATGATATGGATGTTGAATAATTTAAGACAAAAACTTTTACTCATTTATATAGCTGTTTATGTTTCTCACCTGAACGTGAATTTCTTCTCTTGGGTTTACATTTTCATTACACCCCTGTACTACCCAAAACCTTAAAGAAAAAAAATGCTAAGAGTAGCATTCATTACAAAACAAATATTTGGAATCAACACCATTAAATTTACTTAGGGGTACAAAGTCACACATCTGTTATACCATTGTGACATGTACAGGATTCATAACAATACCGAATGAAAGACCCCGTGTGATTATATAAAAAGATATCACAAAATCTCAACACCTTAACGCTGCATTGAAACGCAATCTAACTTTATATTTGGACACAAGTTAAATTATTCTCGAGTCACACGGGTGGCGAAATGTTTGATGGAGAAGGAGATAGTGTGGTACACAGGTCTCCGGTGAATACATAATGTTATCAGTGTATTTTCAATTCGCAATGATCCAGAAATTATAATAAGGCATTGTATCATTGCAATCCGCCTCTGTGATCTCAACCTCTACACCGAGAAGGAGGATATCGTATGCAGTACTGATAACGAACACACAGTTTCATTTCTGGTCGACAGAAGCGGAGGTCTCGTATAGAGGAAGGAATCAGTGTCAATGGAATTCATCAAATATTAATATTCTGTGTACATGTATGATTTCATATGTGAATAAGGGAATTGTCATCTTTATTTACGGAGATTATTTTTTTCGAAATGTGATGATTTCAGGAAGTTCATACTGTTTTAATTAATTGGATTCATGTTTTTTCATAAACGATAGAATTTTTGAAAATTATCGTTGAAACTTCAAGATATGTGATTAAATATTCTTTATTTGTTATCATTAAATTCCAATGTTTTCAGAACTTTGCGGGATCAAATATTTGAAAAAGTGCAACAGTTGTCACGCGGTGGTGAGTTGCTTCAAAGTATTGTACATGCCACAGTCCACGTGGTTTAGTAAGAAGACCATTAAGATGATGGGAATAAATTCCCTATAGATAATTCATTACAGCAAACAGAATTAACTGTGTAATTAATTTTTCGCAGTGTTAACCACACTCGCTTTTTCGGGTCTCCAAGACCGCAGCACGTATCGGGAACCGATTTCCTCCAAGAAATGAGAATGTTTGCATCAAGCCGGGGGTATAGATTATTATCTACCACGGATTAAGACAAATTACCAAATCTTTGATGCTTACTTGAATATTCGCTAAAAATATGCTTCGGAGACAAATAGAAATATGCTAATACGCAAGGTACTGTATCAAGCTCAAGTATTTTGCCAAGATGTGATTGACGCCGGCAATTAGTGAGCTGACATTGAGCCGCAAAGAATGCAATCGACGTGTAGAGAGGACTCAATGGACACATACAGATTTTCCCGGACTTTTTTGGAGGAGTCAAGGTGCGTTTCTGGCCCCGGAAGATGGGTTGTACGGGCGTGGGTCTCTGTCCTTGCTATTTCTGTGCTGTTTTGCCAAGTGTCAGGTAAGTGTTGCTCTTTTTGGCACTGTTTTCATGTTGCTGCCATCTAGAATGAAGTTGTTTTCTACTGATGAGTGGTATAGCATTAGCGAAAGATAGTATCGGTAAAAGAGTTCTACTACTCAGGGGTGGATCTTGGTTCTAACAGAAATTTTTTGTTGTTGTCCAAAAGGACATGTAGATGTAATTTTTTTTTTCTGAAAAAAAAAAGTTTTATAAGTCTTGCATATAATTGGTTAAAGAAATTTGATTAAATAACGATATTATTGGGAAATTGTGATGATCTCGAATTAATTACGAGAATCATTTATCTCTAGATACAAATCAATATGCATTCACCTCTAAGCAGTGAGTTACTTGATAAATGAAAGGGTAAATTATTTAATTGAATACATTATGATTGACATCTAATTCCACCCTCTCTAGTTTATTGTGAGCTATGATTTATTGATGACCTTAGATAATTACTGCTCCCTTATAGAAGTATGCACTTGTATAAGGTCATCTGTCCAAGAGGATAAAATATCTAGTTTTTATTTCACGAAAGACTCGGGTAGAATTCACATAAGCATACATCTATATTCTAATGAAGACAATTAGAGTCACTAGTTTCACTTTATATACCTTTGTAAAATAAAACACGACCGAAAAGGTATTCCAAAGGTAATTACATGTCTCGTGTCATGATTAAAATATCAAATATTCATACTTTGTAGATGATTTATTTTAACGGGTTGCAGTTGTTATAAGATGGTGTCTTCTTTGTAATAACAATGCAACAATAATAGCAGGATAATTTTCTTTTATTTAAATTGTATTTGTGTAAGATTTAGACCATAAACATTTTAATCAGCTTCCGCTTGAAAGTCATGTTCATAGTTGACGGTAATATCCAAATATACAAATGTAAGTATTGATAGAACCGCTATTTGAATCAATTAATCTCATTTATAATAAAAGTTCCATTTACAGCTGTATATAAAAGGTTAACATTGGAAGCTTTTATTTAAGAGAATGAGGAAGACCCTTTGTAAGATACAAGACAGACGGAAAAAAAGTAAACTACGCCGCAGATTATATGATATGAAATGATCGACCATACTAAAAAAACGAAATGAGCACAATACCCTGGTGACTTTAAACGAGCTTTTGCTATTTTCCGCCTCTATGTAAATTTACAATAAACAGACGGTTCACTAACCAAGGGTAAGCCAATGCTCTATACTTCTCTGGCTCGGTAGTCAAATTGCTCCTGTTGAATAACGAACAAATCTATATTTTTGGAGAAGATTTTCTATACAAATTGAAAGTTATAGTCTCCATGGAACATCCCTCCTACACACGTTGTATAAGTTGGAACAAAACTGCTGAGCTTTAAGAAAATTGTCCGATGTCTTGGGGTCCAGTTTAAGAGTATGAATAATAATTATATATGATCAGACCTAACAAATACATATATTCATAAGACAAAATTTGTCCTCTTGAAAATGATTAAAGCAGTCTCATTCAAGCACTGAAACACATAAGTTAATCAAAGTTTTTCTTTTTGTGTAAATATTGATGGGTATTGAAAACTGTTAATTGTGCCTAAATTCAATAAAAGAGTTCATCTGACTGCCGTTTACAGATTCCTGACGCAGGATTTTTTTTTTCTAATTGGAATTCTGAAATTCTTAGGTAAAGACAGGTATTACCAATTTCTCTAATTAAGAATTATAAATTTACAAAATCTGAAACATATATAAAAAATAAATTCCTTCAATCAATTGTGGATCAGGTTTCAATTCAATTAGGCAGCCAAAAAAATTAACGATTAATTTCTTGAGGGGGTTTCTAGCCCACGTCAGGTTGCTCGGTGCGGTTCTAAGATTTCCCGTAATTGTGAACTATTTCTATTCAAGATAAACATAATTTTTTTTTTATTTGAAAAAGAAGTAATCTCATGGTCTTTTTTAAAGTTCTGACATTTCTACAAGTACGCTTTGCTTCTGTACAAGCATTTTAAGTCCTTTTGATGAAAAATTTACGAATCTTTCTATCTTCTCCACCGTATTACATTTTATGCAAATGTTTGAAACCTATACAAATGTAAGAAAAGTCGGTGCTATAATTAAGACAGACTCCATTGAATGTTGTCCTAAATGGTCATAGCGTACGCGTCTCATTAATTGATGACCCTCATCTGATAACAATTGGCTAACAATTAAGTACCCTATATATAATTTAACGTATGTCATATAGTAAAAACAGTGAATCGGTATATATCTGCATCAACATCTAGGAACATCCACCTAAGTGTGAAAAAAAGGTTGGATAAGAAGTTCTCACCCCTTTGAAGCCATTATATTTTCTTATTATCAATATTTAGACATAAAGATGGAAAAGCAAATTTCATTTTCCGGTATTTCTAAACACATGATATGAAAATAATGTGAAATGATCACGAAGGGCGTGACCAGTCGAGAGGGGATGCTAACTCTGTCTATGCACCTGATCCCATGCGCCTCTGATGTTTTTCAGAGGTCCGTGCTTTTGCCCTGTTCACGAATCGAATTGTTTACAGCGTCAGATTGATTACCGTTTTCTCATCTTTGGCTTTTTCATCACAAAAGATTTCATTGATGCAAAGTGTTTTGTATCCTCCTTTTTGTTTTCGAACCATATTCATTAATCCTGATTGATTGCCAGGTCTGATAATGAATTCATGATTCATTTTTAGAGAATGTTTTCGAAATTCTCCATTGTATTTCATTTTTCATACACTAGTTTCGTTTTATGGCTAATTTATGTTCTAAATATGAAAAAAAAAATGAAATTGAACTTTAAAAGATGTTTAATTTAGATATTATAATTGTAATGATATTTATCATCTGATGACCAGAGAGACCCGTTAAAGACGGTTAAAAATCAACTCTATTGGTGAGTTTAACAACTATAAACATCACGACACAATTTTCTTAATTTCAAAGCTGTTTTAACGCCTGCAGCATTGAGGGTTGGAGAAATTATGGCTACCATAATATTTGATTGATCGCTTAGCAGAGCTGATGATGGCCTCACATCAAAGAGGCTAGTTGTCCACACAGGGAAATCTGTTCTTCTTTTAATAACGTGCGTGGCAAAAGATGACATCCAATACCTAAACTGCATGACTTATTGACCGTTCATCAGAGAGGATATTTTATAATGCGGTTTTGTTGGATGTGGGAAAATAATAAAAGTGAAATGAAATTTCCTAATGAAATTGGCTGAAGTCATTTTGGCAAATTACCTCGAATCATGCAATCTTAAAAAGAGAAAACATTGAAAGAAGAATATTGTCATCAAAATGATTTCTTGACGCGAAGAAAAAAAAAAACTGTTGCATCTGATTATTAGTCAATATTCATGTTTATTGATTTCAACCCCAATTAATCTTCATGAACAAATTTTATTTGTAATCAATCAAATAAATACATACTTTATTATTTTAACATTGGTAATTTCAATCTAATAAAATTCAGAGCTCTGTCTCTCTCTCTCTCTCTCAAATGAAAGTGCAAATTGAAGACGTAATATCAAAGGAGAGGAATTTGTTATTCTTTCATTACAATGCTTTTGGAGTCTCTGTGTATTAAAAAGAACCTTAGTCTGGACTACACCAACAAATGGTGACAAATAAAACATCTGTTTTGAATATTGGAAAGGCTTTTCATTTGATTTTTGCAGAATTTATAACAGTATCTGTTTTTCCTGAGAAAACCACCGTGACTGTGTTGGTGTTTGATCAGTTGTCACACTGGGCCTGTTTATCATCAAGAGGATGCGGGGGAGGGTTATCCCGGGCTCTCTCTCAGCATGTATATCTTCTAAAATGTCTTACTTTTAATCAATGCAGGAAGAACTCGATTTGTGTGAATAGATAGGATGTCAATTTGAACAGTTTACTGTGGAATCATCATACATGTATTTAGTGGATGTTCAGTTCTGTGGGGACTTTATTTATGACTTAAAAACAACTTTCCACCACGAAATCCAGTTTTTAACAATTCAGAATAAACCCCTGCAAATAATATAAATAAATATGATACAATTTTTGAACTTATGAATGCTGGATGAAACGTGTATTTTATCACAAATCCGTTCTCTCTTACAAAAAAAGCAGCTACCAAAATACTCTGCAGGTCTTCAAATGTTTGAACGTAATATACAATACCATGTTTCAATTTGCGATTTTCAATTTTGATCAAATTTGCGTAACTTACAGATTTACCAACAAGTGATCACAGCAAGTTCTTTATTCCGTTTTTAATTGCCAAGCGTGTTTTAATGGTTGAGGTATTCCCGATCAAACAATCAGAGTTTTGCTGAAACGCGTGGCTGACATGACCGGAACTGTATATCTTGATTAAAAGATAAAATCGGCAGCCATACAACAGAAAGACGATAGACGTTTGGATTTCATAAACGGACGATTTAAAAATGACGAATTCAGGCATGTACCGATGTACTGGCATTTACCTTGAACTTGTAATTGTAATAATACCTCTCTTCTAATAAAGTGCAGGTTAGAAAATTAAAAACATTGAACAAGTATTCAAATTTAATCGATTGATTAAATAGTAATTTCAGATTTGTATAATTTAGCTGTCTATTATGAGACATGTATATGAAACGCATACTAGTCTTCTAGAATGAGAAGTCTTAAACTATGTTAAATTAGTTAAAGAATCGACATGATCCGTAAGATATCATTATACATTTTCCTGTTATGATACATTTTAAAAAATCAAGTACAGAAAAGTTTAAATCCTTGTTAACTAACCATTACACCATACTTAAAAAGTCGTTAACTTTGAGAAAAATTCCTGAGAAAGAACTTGTTACTTGGTGTCAAATAACCTTATTTAGGTAGGTGGACAAAAGATATTTGTCAGCACCTTATTTTTTTTTTATCATGAACAGTTGGTCGATGGATAAAAATCCCTATAAAAACCAGTTGGTCTATGAATGGACCTCTTAGCTGGTATTGACCTGCTATGTGTGGGGCATTTTTACATTATGACTATTTTTTGTGTACCTTAGTTCGTTTGACGTATTTGACATTTCATGAAAGAAAACACTTCATCAAATTACAAAAAATGAACTGTCAAAAGTGAATAGTTGATCATTTTTAAAAACAGAATTATGAAATTTTAATCTCTTAAGCTTTAATTTGAAAGTAATGTTAATCTGATAATCGATTAGTAAATTTGTGCAACATTGCTTTTAAAGTCACATCCTGCTACATATAAGGCCGAGATTTCTGGCCCCCCGAGATAATGCAAGTCTGAAAACGGACTCTTAATTTAATTGTTCTCGTTAAAACTATTGATTAGTTCTACTAGAACAACAGTAAGTTGGTTAGAAATTCAAACTCTGAAAGTTGAAAAATGATGAATGAGATTTCCCTCTTGATATGGTCCAATCCATTCATGGTCTCCTGCCTTGGACATTTTCACCTCTTCCGCAATGGCTTGCAGTACTGACTACTACTTCGCCAAATCCAAATGTCAGCTTTATAATTTGTATAATATTTTTGTTGCTGATATCGTTGTTAACAAATGTTCAACTAATTTGTACACCTCCTATTAGTAATGACACTTCAATGCCAATGGGTTAAAATTTGAATATGACAGTTTCTTGATGTGGCAGGTCTGTTCGTTATTTGGCATACATTTCATAAAAAAAGTTCTTGTATTTGAAGGGTTATTATCATTTGAATATCTACAAATCTTAGTTCAGCCTGCTTCTTCGCCAAACCTTCAGTGACAACAAAGGCCTTGGTTTAGACCCAATCTTATTGCCTTGTACTTCCTGGTATAAATGGAAAAAACCTTACGGATACATTTAAGTTACACCATACCATCAATCCCTCTACCAAGAGACTCTAATAGATATTACTGCATAACAGATTTTTTTTTATGTAGGAATGATTTTTCTCCCAGCTGGTTTACGTTTTTAGATTTTGACTACTCAGTACTTTTATTGCACTTATATTTAATGCGTATATAATGTTTTAAAGTCAGTACTTTTCCGGATTAAATTATAATGCTTTAAAGCGTATTACTGCCTTTGTGATGAATTAAACTGTCCAGTTCTACCATTATGTGTACACAGAGGCCAATGTTATAAAGTACTTGTATCACCATCACCTCCTTAATTCTGAGCATCTCAGTATTTCTGTACACTTCTATAGAGTTTCTGCAAAGAAGAAATACACTTGTGAATATGAAAGCCGTATCACCAACTATTCAAAAGTTATGGACAAGGTTAACGTTTTTCAAAAGTAGGTCAAACTCCAAGGTCATAATTGTTGGTATCCAATAGGAGGTCTTGTCACAATGAATACACCTGTGAAATACCTAGCACCAACAATTCAAAAGTTATGGAAATGGTTAAAGTTTGATAAAATTTTGCATAAGTGGGTCAAACTTCAAGGTCAAGAGTCAATTATGTTGGTACCCAAAGAAAGGTCTTGTCACAATGAATATACATGTGAAATATGAAAACCATACTTCCAACCAATCAAATGTTGTGGGCAAGGTTAAAGTTTATGCGGACAAAATTTTGCAAAAGTAGGTCAAACTTCAAGGTCAAGAGGTCAAATATGTTGGTACCCAAAGAAAGGTCTTGTCACAAGGAATATACATGTGAAATATGAAAGCCATACTTCCAATTATTCAAAAATTGTATATGCCCCCGAAATCTTCGATTACGGAGGAATAAAAAATAAGAATATCAATGACATGAATATAAACATTCTCCACAATTTTAAACCGATGACATGATACGCATATTCCATAATGGTTTGTGAATTCATGTCATATTTGATATCTTATATACACATCATGGAGTGATCGAGCATTTTAACTTTTTTGTTAAATACAAATAATTATAGATTGAGTTTGCTTACGCATGAAATCAAAATAAACTTTGAGAACAACATATGAACAAAATCTGTAATATATACTTGCCCTAGGTCTTATCTGGATAATGATCAGTTAACAAAAATGAGTTATACAAAAAGTAAATGCAGTCGAAATGGGGTGTCTCTAATTATATATTTAGGCATCTGTCTAATAACTACTGATTGGTTAATAATTAATTGGTAAGCTTTGATTATCTGAGATGTCCACACTGATTAGCTAAATATGCACTGATTTGATTGGATGATTCCAGGTACATTTAAGTCCGAACGCTGATTCAATTTTATTACACATTTTTTTTTTTTTTGCATTTTTCGGGGGGTATAAGTATGTTATATTTTCTTTGCAATTAGGATATGACTGTGATTAAATAAACTTCAAAAAATCTGGCAGATAACGAAACTCGATGCTTTCAAGAATGTCCTCAATAGTGGATGAAATGAATTAATAAAGCATTCAAATATTACAACAACAATAGGCAAACATAATTAAGAAAACTCTTTCTTAATATTAAATGTATGTATATTGCATGACTACGATTTATAGCAGTTGAAATGTCTGGTTTGTTAATAATATGTAACGATAAGAATTGTAACAGATATTTATATTATTATGTTTTTGCAGGTTTCCGTCGCCGAATATCAGATCGAAGTCACGTGCCGCTGACCCCTGTCATTCTGAATACCACAACTCCCAACTACACTTATATCGCTGGGGAGACGGCAATTCTGTACTGTGCCGTGGAAAACTTAGGGACCAAAACTGTAAGTGACAGCTAAAGCACATACAAATATCAGAATGTATTTATTGTTTATTTTCAACAGATCAGAAAAAAAAACTTGACAACTGATGATATTATATACGTACGTATGCAAATACGGTTCATTCAGCATAATAAACTTCGGTTGACAATGATTTATGTTATATATATATATATATATATATATATATATATATATATATATATATATATATATATATATATATATATATATATATATATATATATATATATAATTTATGTAATTTTGTATGGAAGCTTATGTGGAGACGTACTATACCTTTTTAGAATAAGATGCATAAAGATTTCTATATATATACAGCTCAAAAAATAAGTTCTGAAAAACAAGAAGAAAGGTTTCTTCTGCTCGAAGTGAAATGGTGCAGGCTTAAGATTGGCTTAAACTGAAAGAAAGCGTTCATCCAAGATGCACATTGCAGTTACTATAGTGAGGAAATATTACTTTTTAAAAAATAAATAAAAAGAAAGACTGCAAATTTTTAAAATATGCTAGATGTCAAATGCAGATGTGTTTGTATGACACGAATGTGCTGCCAAGATCGAAAAAAAGATAAGAAATTTAGGGTTGCTTCTGTTAGAAATGAGCTATGAAAGTTAACACTTAAAATGAAAGTTAACACTTAAACTGTAAGTTGTAATTTGATATAATTTTATCACCGTACAACACATATCAAAGGTTAGTTCAGTATCTATATACATATCGATAAAAAGTATATGCAAATACAATAAATAAATTTCATAAAATTGTCAAACCGTAATATTTTTAAGTGGGTAATAAAGTTTGGAATTTGACTTTGATATGTGATCCACTTTCAGACAACCAGATTGTTACAACCAACAAAATTTCCGCATAATTTCTACAAACATAGTTGTAAAAGATTCACAATTACCATTTTAATGTTATGGCTATAAAAAGAACCATATTTAGTTATAGTCAATATCTACCCCACCCCCACCCCAAATGAAACGTTGATGATAAAACCTTAATTACTTGCAGACTTCAATACATGAAGATAATGTTATTACTTAACGTCATAAAGTAATAAAAACGTAAATTTGTCATTTCAAAGATTTGGAAAGAAAATTCTGTTTTTACATCAATATTTTGACTGGAAAATATGGAGTGCATGTCTGTTCAGACTTGATCTTATGATATAATGTACAGAAATATGTGAATATTGTACCTGTACAAGTTTGCACTCTGTAAAAACTATCCTCCAAATTGAACAAAAAATGTGTATTTTGTCAGCTTTTTATTAACTAGAGTGTTCCAAGGAACGAATGTGTCGCCTGCTTTGTAGCTTCCTTAAAGTAATAGTGGTCAGTTTTTTATTTACTATTATCATGATATAGTCCATGTTTTTCTGCAAAGAGAAAAATGGCATCCATGGATAGTATATAAGAATGTGATAGAATCTGACAATTTAAGAAAATATGATTCCCCAACCCTCAAATGAATAATTAAATTGAAATTATTAGAAATAACTATCTTTTTATTAATTTCGAACAATCCTCTGAAAGAGATTTACTGCAATCGTCAGTCTACATTCATTGTGAAAAACAGGTCCCGATGAATTTTCATAGTATTTAATTATAAGTTTGTGTGGTAACTGAATATCATACAATTTCAAAGTACTGTATCATGAGCTCAACGTGTTTCCGACAATCCTCCAAAAGAGATTTCTCAATTGTCAGTCTACACAATCTATTGTAGAATACCGATCCCGATGTATTTTCATAGTATTTAAAAATAAGTTTGTGTAGTAACTGAATATCATACTACTAGTATTTCAAAGTACAATAGCATGAGCTCATAAACATGTATAAATGTTCATTATCAAAATACTGTCTCTCAAAATTCAAAAGTCAAAAGTTAAATTAAACTGCCTGGGGTATTTTTTTGCAAAGTAGGTCAAAGGCCAAGGACAATTGAATTGTAATGATGGTATTTTTCACAATATCTTATGACAAACAGTGCACATGTAAATAACATAGTCTTACCTCTTAAATGTCAAAATTATGCTGCATATCAACACTATGAAATATTTTGAAAAGTATGTCAAAGGTCAAGGGTCATGAGCTCTGTAACCATGGTAATTGACAAAAGCCATAGTGCTAAGCAATATGTGTGCAAAATAACAAACCCAGATTTCTAACAGTTCTCGAGATACAAGATGTGGCAGACGGACAGACAGACAGACAAACGCCGGGTAAAGTGATACATAAGTGCCGCTCTGCTCTGCAGGCGACACAATACTATGGCAATATCCCAAAAATTCCAATTGTTTGTTTCCAACCCATAATATATTCTGTTTATTCAGATTTTTACGATAGATATACAGAATGACACATTTCGAGGGATTTTCAAAATTCGACTATAATAGGGGCAGTGATTCGCCTTTACCGAAAATAGTTCTGTAGGGCGGGGTAAAGCAGTTAAAAATTTGGTTGCAAATATTGAAACTTAAACTCATTAAAAGACATTCATCCACGGAAATTCAATTCTGATGTTTTCACAAATTGAGCAGAATATATCAGTAAAGGAAAAAAGTTTAAAAATTTTAAACTTCAAGAGCCGTAGTTCAGTTTTGAAGTAGGTTATGTGGAAATAAACTCGATTGGGAGCAACATCAAATGGCAATCAACAATAGATTTCGCTCAATATCTGCAGCTGAGGCGATGCCAGTATAAAGACATTTATGAGGAAACACGTACTTAATTACTTGTTATGTAAGATATACATGTTCATTGAAATAAGTATATATGTAAAGAAGAAGAAAATATACGCCTTTTTAAAAGCCTCTGAAAACCAATAATTAAAAGATTATACAAGCATGAAATAGAATCGATGTTCAATGAACAGATATCAAAATGATAATTATTTCTTCTGTGACTTTGTAGAAACCTCAGGCCCCAGGATCATGAAACAGACTTAGACTTAAGTCAAAATTTCAGTCGTCCATAAAATATTTATAACTTGTGAATCAAACCTCATAATTTGCATGCAACAGTAGTTTATTGCTGCAAAGTGAAAAAAAACATTTTCATTTTAGACTGCTACATTTCTAAATCATTTTAGTGGAATATACAGTTTTTGATTTAAGCTTAAGATGTTTCATGATCCTGGGGCCAGGTATCAGACAGCAAGCCAAACTGACAGCAAAATGTCACGTTTGATTTTATCTTTGTCTTTCTCTCTTTCTCGAGAATATATACCTTCAAAAGAAGATAGCGAACTGTGGCCTTCTTATGAATCCTGAACACAATAGGAAACATAAACAGGACAAAAATAAGGGCCCCTTGAACTACCAGAGGTGGGATCATGTGTCAAGGAGTAGTAAACATCCCCTGTCGACCGGTCACATCCACCATGACAGAAAATAGAGAACGGAAATTTAATTAAAAAAATTTTGTAAAGAATATTGACATCTGTACATTATCATTCGTTTTTTAAGAAAACACAAGCACTTGTTTCGTATATGGGGTCACCCTCTTCTTTTTCTTTCCACAAGGTACATGTACTTAACTCAATTTCAGGCACCCCCGCTTCAAGCTCGTATTTTGTTAAAATATCAATCATTAACGAACTTAAATATGACGACAGACTTCCGAGTTTTGAAGCTGGTGTGTCTAAAAGAAGGGGTTGACCCTTATACGAAACAAATGCCTGTGGAAAAAAGGTGGGATTAAAAAAAACTATTTGAAGTCTACTTCTGGACTTTTAAGAAGACCTTAATAAATGCAGGTATGCTTCGTATGTTCAATTATTTTAATATTTAATTCAATTATGTAGTCCTTAGAGACCAGGTCCTCCGACAAACTGTTGGAATAACGATGGACACTTATTGTGCTCCTTTATTAGTCGACCTGTTTTTATATTCCTATGAAGCAGACTTTATTAAAAAAATCTACTTGAGAAGAAGAAAACACTTACTGTGGCCTTTATCTCGATTGATTGATTGTTTGTTGTTTTACGTCCCATTCAAGAATTTTTCACTCATATAGAGACGTCACCATATACCAGTGAAGGGCTTTAAATTTTGACCTTTACTCGGCACTCAGGGCCATTGAGCAGTGAGGGATCTTTATCGTGCCAACGCCTGCCGTGACACAGGGCCTCAGTATTTTAAAAGGTCTCATCCAAAGGACCCGCAACTTTCACTTCAAAGTGCCGAGCGCATGGCGAAGGAACAGTTGCTACCCATTTTTTTATCGACTTAGGTCAGTCGCGGCCGAGATTCGAACTCACGACTTCCCGATCACGGAGCGAGCACTCTATCGACTGAGTTACCGTGAACGGTTCTTCAACTCGAAATTTAGATATATCGGCGACGTATTATCAATTAAGAATATTTACTTCCATTCATATGTCGACTCGATGTCTTAGTGAACTTGAAATAAAAGACATCAAAGAGTCTGTCACATCTTTTTCATATTTGGATGTTTTACTGACTAAAGACGATAAGGACCAACTAACAACTTAATTGTATGATAAACGGATTGACTTCAGCTTGTCAATGAGGAACTCAAGCATGTTTTATATGGTATTTTTTTCAAAGAAGGAGTTGTCTTTGGAGTCGGAAGTGGTTAATGTACATGTATCTTGATAAAAGGTTATATAGTGTGACCGGTCAAAGTATGACCGGTCAATAGGGATGCCTACTCTTTTTAGGCACCTGATCCTTCCTCTGATGTTTCCAAGGGTCTTTGTTTTAATTTGCACTGTTCACAATTCGTATTGTTTAGAAATTTATGAAAGTGAGCATTGCTCATTTTTCTTTTATAACACTTAATTTTCCTATGACTTGCTCGATTTCCCTTTGCTAGTTGTTTGTCACTTCGAACTGATTCTGTAATGTAATTTTTAAACCTGAATTTCACCCTACCAGGTGACCTGGAGAAGAGCGATGCCTTCAGTCATACTTACTGTGGGGCTGTTCACTTACTTTGGAGATTCCCGATTCCAGACACATAACGTCATACACAAAGACCAGTGGAATTTGCACATACGGAATGTTAGTCTGGAAGACGAAGGAAGGTATGAATGTCAAGTCAGCACAAAGGCTCGTGACATTAGGAGGAGTTTTTATCTAACGGTAAAAGGTAAGCGTCTGATTATTTAAAGAAAAGAGTAAGATTTTTGAGACACAAATGTATTTACAAAAATGTAACGATATTTTTTTCTTTTTTTTCAGAACAGACATCTAGTAAGTATGATTGAACATATGTTCTTTTGATTTTTTTTAAATTTTCTTACATTTGCATAAACTCTACTGAACATAAACTTTTATTATTTAAGCCTGTCTGTAATATTTATGTTTAAGTTTTTAATTAATGTTATTATTTAGAATCCATCGTTTTATGCCCGAAACATATTTGTATGATTATTCAGCATGAAAATTAAACTCGAACATTTTTCAGGATAACAAAAGGCATTTGAGCATTCAAACTCTGAACTAATTCCTCACACATACTAGAGTTCTGTTCTGGGAATTACATCTCTATCTGTTCTAGCTTTGATTATCATCAGCGTTGTAAATACCATGTTAATTTGAAGCAAGCTTCAAAGAACAGAGTAATAAACTTTTGAGTAGGCATGCATATCGAAACTCTTTGGATTAAAAGTTACCTTTATAAGATTTGAAAAGACGATTTTATAGCCTTAGTCTTAATCATGTTATAAATTTTTTAATGATAAGCAATTAAAAATGCTTGAATTCAAATCCCTTGAAAGGCATTTCAAAGTACTAGAGTATCAAAATTTACGCCATTCTCAACATTAAGTATCCCTAGATAATACTAATACACCACAGAAAAGTAAGAACTGTTTTTACTAGAAATCAAAGCCTATAAAATATGTATGTTATTATAAATATATTCATAATCAAATGCAGATTTACTTATTTTGATTATTCAGAATATTTTTTTTCTTGTTTCTAATTCTAAGTAAAAAGTTTGGATGTTTTTAGCAAAGCTACCAATGGTTCATCCAAGGTTTTAAAGAAGAAATGTATTGACATGTATTCACCAATTTTCAAAGAATTAAGACCAATTTATCAGTTGTGAAAAATTATCCGGTAAAAAAAAAAAAAAAAAAAACTATCACGTCACATTAGCGTTAAATGAAAGATTGATTGACTAATATCTTATGCACCTTCATCTTTACAGCTATTCACATTTCGGGTAAAACTTACGTAGAGAAAAACCAGAGACTGGTTCTTTTGTGTAACGCCTCCAGTGATTCTTACCCCCCGGACGACCTGGACTGGTTTATGAACGGACACAAGATTGTGTCAAATGAACGGGAAGGTATAACGATAACAAAAAGTGTCACATACAGAAATAAAACCATTCGAAGTGAACTCGCAATTGCGCACGCGCGCATGCATCATGCTGGAACTTACATATGTCGAACATCCGATAAACTGGTGACAAATATTAAAGTGAACGTGCTTAATGGTGAGTAGATTATACACTTCATCGATTTTACCTTCAATCTTTAAAAAAGACCTGTTCTTAGTAAAGCAGGGGTTGTGCAAGTGTGATGTTTAGACATATGTTAAGGTCTAGATCTTCTTGTAAGGGATTTGAAAAATACTCTGCTAAAAACCCTGAACAAAACTATCGCACGAAAGTTTTACTTAGTATAACATTACTTTAATGGCTTTCAATCAGTACAATTAAAGACGTAATACCTTAGCATACAAATGTTTACAGTAAAATAGCATGTTCATGGAAATTTATTTAGTTTAAAACTATTTTATCCTTCCTACTCTTCCATATTTATAAATCAGTTTTGAAGTATGAGACGTAAGAGACCTTAATTTTCAATTACTTATAATCGACACTGTTTTATTTATTCACTTGTAAATGATTAGACAATAGGGAGTTGTAATTTTTAGCTTTACCAGTCATTAGGATTTTAATTTTGTTGTACTATGCTATTCAATTATGATGTTATGCTTTGCTGGATTTTAGGGTTTCACACTAAGTGACACTCCCCTTAAAGTTCTGCACCGACTACATGTACTTCATCATAGTATAGGCAAAATCATTATTGTAAATGTATAGCCGACATTGCTAAAAATTTTGTAATCTGTCCGTAATTTTGTCTTATTTATGTAATTATGCTTTCGGTTTACCTACAGGTATGTGAATTATTATTTGTTATATATATATATATATATATATATATATATATATATATATATATATATATATATATATATATTGGTGTACCTTTAACGACTTTCCTGGTATCCCTGGAATATTTTTGGTATATGAATGCGTAATAATGGTTTGGCATACCTGTCATAACATTTTGGTTTACCTATTATTTTGTAATTCCGGTAGATTAAGATGATTTTTTATAGCTCCTGTTTTCTTTTTCAGCAGGAAAAGACAATGTAAAAAGAGGTACGTACGATACAGAACCAGAAACATTACCCATTATTCTTAATGAATTCAGCAAAGCAAATATTAATGACATGTTTTAATCCGTAGATATGAGAATGTCATATTACAATGAAGGTTATCTTCCAGTCAATGAGTATTGCTGAAATATTCCAGCTTTAATAGAAGCATCATGTTAAATAACCTGTACATGTTCCACTGCTATTAGGCACAAATAAAAATAAACTTGCACATTTGTGTACTTAATTAACTTCCTTCAACAGCAATATTGACTTGTGATCCCCATTCAGAGGGGAAATTAAGCTTTCCAGAAGCTTGCATTTGGTACATAATGTTTGCTCAATGTGTCACAGAATGCTTAGTATCGACAAGTTCATTAACTAAATGGGTTATAATCGTGTGATGTATAATTAACAGGAACTGCCATTCGTTCCGAGGAGGCGTTCCTCTTATATCCGCAATATAAATCAAGTTTTCCTTGAAAAAAAAAAAAAAAAAAAACAAGGATAAAATTAACATTCCTATACAATGTGTATCATTTGGCTTATAAACAGGTATTGTTTTTAAATATAGCAGTCTTGAATCCATGTTACCGATTGATTGCTATTCTTCTGTTGGATTGTTGACTTTTAAAGTACAGATAGAATACAAAAACTTCGCATGTTATGGTAAAGCTTGTACTGATAATTATCGTCACTGCCCCTGTATATTTTGGGATTATTTTAGCAAAGTACAATACACTATATAGTGTTGATGGTATGCATCTTGCTCTTGTTTCACTCTCGAAACCCTGCTCCAGTCTTAATTAGATAGTTCTGTCATAACAGATTTCGCCAACATTGTGTTTTGCGTTTCCTCAAATAATTGGCCATGAGATTTTTTTGGTACGATATGGAATCTTAAACTGTGAAATCAGTTTTTGTGTACATTTGATTTTTTTTTTAAATTTTACCAGAAATACAGAGTGTTTACCTAAAAGAAAAAAGTGTGCTTATGTAATAATGAAATAGACTAAACTGTAAAAGGAGTTGTAAATGCAGTTTATAGGGTGAATATAAATTCTGTTTTATGTAATAAAATAATTTTGATTAAATGATATTTCATTATATTTTAGGCACTATCATATCTGATAAAAGTCAATTTGTTAAAGGCAAGAAGGGACACACAGATGGAAATATTTCCAATCGCTTACGTGGATCTTGGACTTTGTTATTTGGAATTATTCTTTGTGTTGGGTCATGAAATGCTCACCAATTCAACACTTAAATTTTGATTTTAAGAAGACAGAGAAAACAGTACCTTTGAGGTTTGAGAATGACAGAAGATAAAATGTACCTGTAGGTGACTAAAGGTGTTGACATCAAAGTCGACTCTGCTCTCCGTCAGTGTCGGTAATGGGCGTGAGTGAAGAGTTCCTCAATTTATCTTCCTGGTACATCTTCTGTTTTAAACACACAGGACGCACTGTGCAATAATTTGTACCTGACTTCTGATAATCCATCAGATTCAGTTCCTGTGAGGATTAATATTTGTTTTTATAAAACGTGTTCTGTTATATTTTGTAACATGGTTACTTTATTTAGTCATTCATATTCATATTCTTAATCATATGAATCATTTTTTGATTGTTGAAAATAGATACAATAGAAAAATTTCACAATCTTTTTTCATCCAACATGCTTCATTTTATATTTATCAGGAGTGCAAACTGTTTTAGCTCGATCAGTGTTATTTGCCTTTTGTATAGATGATCAGCTGACACAATCTATCAATATTCTATACTAACCGATACTCTACACATACAAAGTGCAACTCATGCCGGTGAAGCAAGTGCTGATGGTTCACCTACTAATATTCAAGATGTTGCCTGAAATAAGAAGACATTAGAAAACACAAGTCGACAACTTCATAAATATGTTAATCATTATAGAAAAAAGTGCAATACAGCGTCAAATTGAAGATTTACTTGCTGTTATGAAGTAGGTACTGAGCATGTGATATTGTTTTGTACAGACTGTGAAAGAGAGACCTATATTAAGGTTAACTAGCTTTGCTTTGGTTTATGGCTATTTAGATGTGATTGCTTACGGTCTGTTCAGTCTGCAATCTAAGAAGAATTTTATTTGATAAACAAGACTTTGTCATTACGGGTATAACATATCCTAATCAGATACGGGGATTCCGTCTTTGATTGGCACACTTGTTCATCCATTATGTCATTTACAAATTATGTTGTTTATTTTTTTGTTTTTGTATTGTTGTTTTTTTTTCAAATTCAATGCTTGATTAAAATAATTTTTGTACAGCTTCTGTTGTTATTCAAAAGTGATGATAAATCATTCAGAATAATCTCTAAAGAGTGATTGATTAAGTTTAACTTAAAAAAAAAACAATAGGGAACTTTTTCTTTTTTTTTTTATTCTTCCTGTTTGCTGACGTCAACCAGTATCAGTTATATAATCCAAACTTTCTCCGTTATTCTTAAGATACTGCCTCAAAACAGACTGGAATTAATTTTTACATATAGGTAAACCATGCCGAATTCTTTTGTATTAAAAAAAAACACGAATCAAGACAAAAAACAACAACAAAACAAAAACAAAAATGTGGAGGTACGATATTTGCAATGCATGTGTATATAAAAAAAAAAAAACACTTTATTTTTAAAAAAATCTTAATTTTAAATCCCTAGCTTTAACATATTAAAGTCAAGCATATAAACAAAATATATTATTTTCTGGGGAAAAAATCTTGAAATGATGTGAATCTAAAATAGAAAAGTTACTTCTTTGGCACAACTAGATGGTATTTAGACTGGTATGCTTTTATCAGACCATAATATTCATAATATCTTAGTATTATTAGAAGCATCAAACCGTGTTCATTATGCTTTCAGAGAAATTATTAGTTATCTCTGACTCTGGCAAGTTCACCTTTTAGATATATTCGTAATTCAAGGTCAATACGCAAAACGGTTCATCCCCCTATTCCCAATTTTTTTTTTTTTAAAAAATCAAGCAGTAAAAGAAAAAAATTTAATGTGGAATTCGGTGGAAAATACATATTAAAAAAGATAAAATCAGATAAATTTGCTAAAGTTTACATTATCAGTTGACTACATTTTATAAATTATAAATTCAATCTTTATTTTTAACATTAAAATTATTTATCGTTTTCTTTCTTTCTTTTTTCTTTATTTTCTTTTGCAAGAGTATACGAAAGACCCGCAAAACAAGTATTTTTCGAAGCTATTTTCTTCTATCATAAAAGTATGGTACAACTATATGCGTATATTAACGTATATCAATAGCCGTGATGACCCTGAATTATGACACGTGTTTCAAGTAATTTGTTTATGACTTCAGAGAATTTTTTCTGTCCAAAGTGATGATATTTACATTTGAGATAATTGACTCCAGGTCAGACTCACCACAAATACTGGTTCATTTTTGTGTAGAGTAGGATGATTTTTATATAAGCAAAGACAAGAAAAACTCATATGCAAACCGAATGGGTGTTTGGACACGAGGAATAACATTTTATGTATTTGGATGGTCTTGAAACATTATTTTAATCATCTGGTTCCTAGTTGCAGATTTTTTTCAAGTTCGCGAAATTATTAAACAGGGGCTCGCTTTACAGAAGAACTTACGACTAAGACCCAAAACTTAAGTTGCTTTTAAAATCTTGCAAAACTAATGTTTCTGTTAAAATTCGTGCAGAAAAATATCTATTTTTTTCTTAAAACGATTTTCAAATTAATGTAAAAAAGAAAGTTATCTGCAAAATAACATTTTATTCTTAGTCGTAAGTTTTTGTTTGTTCTTTGTTAAAAGGGGACCTGGTCCTCCTTGGCGTACAGACATAAATTTACACTATAGAGGTATGAACAAAAACATCTGAAATAATCCACAGAAAAAGGCTTTTCCATCATCATAATCCATTTATTCCATTTGTAAATTAGGATAAATGCTAGAATAAAAACGGTTGTTGTGACAGAAATGTAAACAACTAAATAACTAAATAACATTATTTATTAAGGGGAAAATTACATGTCAAGTTACAAAATTCATAATTGCTTAGTATTCATAATAGTGTAATTGGTGCTAAACATATATAAGTGTGGAATGACCCGTTCTGAAACATTTCTATCACTTCTTCTTGTGACCGATATATTTGTCGTATTAGTTATTGGGATACGTTTTGTAATCAGGATTTCACCAATAGCTAAACTTGTACAGATGTTTCATCAGGAAATACATCCACATGCTTTTGGTGCTGCATGTGACCAAGAAAGAAAAATCTAGCTGGTGAAAGTTTTTGAGCAGCTCTTCTCGTATTGTATTTACATTACTGACATGATCCAAATTGGAATCTGATAAAAAGGTATCTTTTATATGTCAAGTAGGAATAAAGACATAAGATTTTTCAATGACTAAAACCTAGAGTTAAACAACGGGGAAAGGTATAATCAAATCTTCTCGTAAATATCTGTACCAAATTTAACATTCTTACAGCATTGTTACAACTTCAAAACGCTTATGGCATCCGTTTAGCTGACTTTGGTAATATTTTATGACTGCAGAGCATTTTCCAACTGTATTTAGCAGCAATTCCTGTAGGATGTGCTGTTACATACTTTATACTACCAGGCGCCATTTTTCATTTGTAACAGCTGTTCAGATATAATGTACATAGTATCAAAACCGATACTAATTCCTTTTTCAATCATCAATGAGACTTTATCCCTAATCCAAGTTGTCGTTATGTTCGTCATGATGCCAACAAGATTTCCAAGCTGAAAGACTGATGAATGAAATTTAGTCTGCTCATATGCCACATTGTGATACAAGCAATTCAAGAGAAAAACCCCAAAGCTCTTCAAATGAATTAGAAAAAGGAAAGCTAAAGGAATGGAAAGCGCTATAATATCTAACGCAGAGCGTTAACTTTGGAAAGAAGTTGTTCCTCACTATTGAAATTTTCTAGAATAAGTCTAGCGAGCAATGTAATTATAGAAATGTAACTTCCCCAATAGAGAATGACATTGATGTAAAAGAAAACTGCGTGGTCATACTACCAATATAAGAAGCAATAGAAATGCTGCCATCTTTGGAAAATTTCTATTATTTACGGCTAAACGCGACATGTTTTCTGACACATTAATCTGAAAATGCTTAATGGTGTATTTATTGTAACTTCTCACAAACTAGTAAAGGATTCAAGAAGTCACTGATGAATTTTATTTTTCAGGTCGTTAACAAACAGGTTAGGGATCTCCATTTGAAATGAAATCCACAAATGTTTGATCAAACAATCACATACATGTATGTCAAAAAACCCTTTATGCCTGCTCCAAGATTACTAAAAGCACACTACAATTCCATGAACCATTTAAAAATATCTTAATCAAGAAAATATGTATATAAAATATAAGTGAAAGCAAATTTATTGAACAATATATATTTCAATAAGTCATAAAAAAGAAACTGGATTGCAATTAGAAAAAAACAAAACATAATTAATAGATTTTTTATGCAGCTAAAAACCTAATTTTTTTTTCTATGTAAAAGGTGAAGATAACGAAAGATGATCAGTGTCATAAATACAGTAGACAAAACAAATCACGAACAGGGCAAAAACACAGAACCCTGGAAACAATAGAGGTGGGATCAGGTGCCTAGGAGGAGTATACATCCCGTGTTGAACAGTCACACCCGTCGTAAACCCAAAGTATTGATTAGAGAGAAAGAGTATTTCCGTAGTCAGAATTTACTATAAAAGCAAAGAACTACACTGTAACAAATGGTAGGAAACACTATACAAAATATAACTCAATGATAGGTTGTATTTACAAACAAGGTCACTATAACGACCATAAAATTTGCATTTGCAAAAAGCTTACTTTTCGGGGTTGTTTAGATAGTTAAAACATCAACTTATTTGTCAGCCTGTTTAAAAATTGATCGTACTCAGACAATGCTCCATACGTATCGAATCAACTCCATATGCAGGTGATGTTGGAACATTACTACTTAAGTAAGGGAAGTTGACGATGGAAAAGCTGAAGTCATCCCGTCTGTCATACATTTTAATATTAGTTGGTCATTATCGTCTTTAATCAGTAAAAATCCAAATATGAAACAGATGTGGCAGACTACGAGGGTTATCAAAAAGTTCGTGGACTAGGGCCATGAAATTAAAACCATTTTAGGTACATCAATGAATTTTAAAACATTTATTTAGCATCATCTTTTCTATCTTTAGAATAAACTATGAATCATAAGTTCTATTTTTTAATAAATTGTTAATGTTTTTGTAAGCAATGGTTTGTCCAGGCGGCGATACCTCGAACCTGACATTTTTTCTACCTGAGTGTAACTGAGAAAAGCTCTTTTACTATGAGCTTTTGCCGTCCAAAACCCCGTTAATTCAGGCATCTGGTATGACACAATTGTTTCGTATAATTTGCAATTTTTACCTCATTCTGTAATTAAGTTCTATAAAGTTTTATAGTAAATTCAATATGGAATGTCCAAACAATTATTGGCTTGAAAATGATGTCAAAATGGGGATGGGGTTTCTTTTTTTCAACATTCTATAAAGTTTTTCCCTTGGAAAAACTGGTATAGACCAAAGAAATGTTTTAACGGGCTACAGAGAAATAAAATGCTTCCAGAGTACTTGTTTTCAAATGCCAAAAATGATTATGAGAGATGAACAGTTAATGTATAATTGTAGTCAGGGTGTCAAAAGTCAGTCACGTCGAAAAGTGACGTTGATCATGTGTGGTAGATATTGAACTCCGACAAGCAAAATATGCTGGAATAATCAAGTGAGGATCTTTTCCCATGTATAGATCCATTTACAATATTATATGCATTAAAAGCAGCTGTTCATGAAATTTTAAAGTCATATAAACAAGACAGGTTTAAGTCCTTACTTAACTCCAGGGAATCTCACTAAGATAAGTGTATAAGGTAGAGGGAGCGGAAACTGAGAAACAATGACGTTGTCGGACGTCATGAAACTAAATGGAGACAGCGCCGGGTAATCATATAATGTCTTTTTTATTTTCTAATAATTTGGCAAATTATCAACGCATCAAGCTAAAATTTTCAACAGTTCTTAAACTTTTGTTGTTTTATGTTCCCTGTAAATTTTGTAATCAACGACTACAGAATATTAATTTTATCGCATCAGTCCACGAATTTTTTGATAATTCCTCGTATTAGTGTCTTATATTTCGAGTTTAATTGAGGATATATCGAGTGGACATATATGAATGGAAGTAACTATTGTT